TGCAACTAGAATAAAATAATAATAAATAGCTAACATTTACTGAGCTCTATATCCCTGACATTACATATTTTATCTTTATGATCTTCTTTAATGTTCATAGCAACCCCATGAGTTATTCAGAAAAGATACTCAAAACACTCAAAACCAGTATCACATGGCTGCTACATCATTTCAGTGTGTAATTTCTAATATCAGCCCTGGAGATACCAGTAGGTACTATTATAGTAGTACCCATGATAATTATCTCCATTTTAATTTTTAGAAAAGAAACAAACATACAGAATTCAAGATATACAGCTAGTACATGACAGAGATGGAATTTTTTAATTTAGCTTGCTCCAGAACCCTGACTCTTAATCACTGAGCTATATTGCCTCTCAATATTTTAAAAAAAGAAAATGCCTGTATAGCCCTAGGATGAGAAAGGATGTCTTACACACAAACACACAAAACCCATAAATAAAAACATAGTTTAATCACATTAAAATGTAAAACTATGTATGGTAAAAGGCATAATAAACAAAGTTAGAAACCACTGGCTGAGAGAAGATTATTTATGACACTCTTAATAAGTATTCAATTTAGGCAAAAGAAACTTTTCCTTACCAATAAAAATAAAGGCAAAACCAAAAACAAAACAAAATTTAGCAAAGTAAGTAATTCACATAAAAGGAAACCAAACAGCCAGTAAAAACATGAAAAATGATAACAATAGTAACAGATATGTAAACTAAAATGACACACTCACAAGACTGGCTACAATTTGTAAAAATCAGATATTGGCAATTAGGATAAAGATGATAAGCAACAAAAATGTTCATTCACTTCTGGGAAGCATAAACTGGTAGAATTAGTTTAGGGAGATACTTGACTACATCTGGTAAAGCTGAAGATCCATATATCCTCTGATCCATTAATGGTATTCCTAGCTTTATATCCTAGAGAAACCCTGACATGTACATCAAAGACACATGAATAAGACTGTTCACTGCTTCAATGTCTTGATGTTTTTTAATATTACTGAGGAATAACTCAAATGTACATTAGCTGGGGAACAGAGAAATACTGCTATATTTAAATAATATTATATAGCATATTATACATATTATCCAGCAGTAAAAATGAACAAGCTACACCTATAATATACATATACATGTAACACAAACAAAATTGAATTAAAAACATTGCAGAACATTATGCATCACTTAAGTTAGTTGTAAAACACACATACAAAGCAGTATTATGCATTGTTCACAGATAAGTGTATTAAAAGTTAAAAAAACTAAATATGGCCTATATAACATGGCTTAGAATTCACTGTTTTAAAGACAAACACATTAAAAGAAGCCCACTGTTACATTTATTACTATAATGCTATTGAACACACTATCTACTATGTACTAAAGCCTTCTCTTTATGTGACATCAATGCACATATTTGAGGGGGAAAGGCTGAAAAAGGTCAATGTTCTAACTTCATGTCAAAAGTTTGGAAAAGAAAAGGCAAAATCAAACTAAAAGAAAGTAGAAAGGAAATAAAGATATGAGCCAAAATCAATAAGATAAAAAAATAGTAAACATACACAAAAATCAAAACCCAAATTTGGTTCTTTGATATGAAGAAAAAATAAGGATCACCAATTACCAATATCAGCAATGAAAAAGTGGACATCACTACTATAAAGATGTTAATAAGATAATTCTGAACAACTTTCAGCAACAACTGACAACTCACATGAAACTGACAAATTCTCAAAAGCCAACACAAAAAGAAATATACATGTATATTTTAACAGGCCAAAATCTATCTTAAAAATAAAATCTGTTATTAAAAACCTTCTCACAAAGTAAACTTCAAAGTCAAAAGGTTTCATTAGCAAATTCCTTTATACCTTCAAGGAAGAAGTAACATCAAGGGCACATAAACTCTTGCACAGGACAAAAAACAGGAAAACACTTCTCAACTCACTTATGAAGTCAGAATAACACTGACACCAAAATGTGACAAAAAAAAAAAAGAGAGAGAGAGAGAAAGGGAGCAGGAGTGCAAAATCTTGTTCATGATCATAAATGCAAAAATCCTAAATAAAGTATTAGGAACCAATTCTAACAACATTTAAAAGGATAATACATCACAATCAAGTGAATTCATTCCAGGAATGAAAAAGTAGATTAATATTTGAAAATCAAGAAATGCAATCTACCACACTAACAGCAAATATATAACAGAATAATAATAATCTGAATAATGTCAATAGTAGAGAAAGCATGTGGTAATAATTAACATTCATTCACAACAAAAATTCAGTAAATGAAATAAAAGGAAACTTTCTTATCTGATAAAAGATGTCTATTGATCACCCCCCAACATACATGCACATATATATAAACTTAAATGGTAAACTATTAACTTTCCTGAAATTCTATCATCATTTCGATTCAACATTATATTAGAGGTCCTAACAAATGTAGTAAAGGGGAGGGGATGGTAATGGAGACTTTGCAAGTGGTATGATTGTACAGTACATGTAGAATTCACATCCACAGGCAAATTATTAGAATAATAGGTGAATTTACCAAGGTCACTGGAAAAACAGGTCAAAATACAAAAATCAAGTATATTTGCACACACAACACAAACTTAAAAAACAAAAATGTAAAGTACATTTAAATACTTTAAATATTTGAAGTATTTATAACAACAAAATCAAATACCTAAAATAGAGCAAATATGTATAAAATTTTACAGACAAGTACAAAACATTAGCAAAAAATATTTCTAAAGTCCCAAATAAATAGAACAAGTATTGACATACATCATGAATTGGAAGACTTGCTATAGTAAGTATGTCAATTTTTCCCAAATTCATCAAAAATTTCAATGTAATCCCATCCAAAATTCCTGCAGGTTTCTTGCAGAAATTGACAGTTTCATTTTAATATTTACATAGATTGAAAAAGATGAGTTAAGCAAATCTTGGAAAAAAACAAAGATGGAAGACTTACACTACCAGATGTTGATAGTTATTTTAAAGCTACAGTAAATAAAACAGTGTAGCAATGACATAAGGATAAGCAAAGAGACCAATGAACCAAAAGAGTCAAAAAATATATGACAAAAATAACCTTAGAGTAGAGAGAAGGAAAGATGAATTTTCAAAAAAATAATTAATCTTGACCTCTACCTCACACCATGCACAGGAGTAACTTCCAGATGGCTTTGTAGCTCTAAATGTTAAAGTTTAGAAAACAAATATTTTAGAAGAAAACACTATCACAGTATATCTTACATTTTTCAACTTCTGCCATCAATCCTCCATTATTTTTCAGACTGCCTCCCTTTTAGACCAGAAGACCTAAAATCTTAAAAACTAGTAATGGTCAATCCAGGTGCATTATGAACTGTCAAAAGCTATTCTGTCATTAAGTTACAGGAACTGTGAACTGAATGTGGAGAACCTTCTGAGAAATGTCAAGTACTAAGTGGATTATTGTTGCCATCTGCTGGACACAATGTTCATTTCTACTTCAATCATGGTTGCTTTAAAGAATCCTAGTAATAAGCACATAAGACCCTAAAATGTAATATTTTCTTAACTTCTTTTATCTAATAGGATAGAGTATTAATTCATCTATTAGATGAATTAAATCTGTAATCTCTTTATGTTTGTGCAACTTAATGAAACTTTGTTAACAATGGTTATTTTTTCCAAGTTACAGGTTTATGAGTATAAAAAAATTGCATTGCCTGAAATCCACTTGGAATTTAATACACCCACAAAGCCTGCCAATTTTCCATACACCTACTGAAAAATCATATTTTATATAATAAATAAGTAGAAGAGTCACTTTAAACACACCAAGTACACTTTAAACATATGGTATATCATACACATTACTTGCAACATTTCTTAAAATACACATGTATAAATAAATATGCATGGCAGGTCGTCTAGTACTCACCCATATTTGGTTTCCTTGCCTTCCAAGCACGTGGGAAAATTGGTTATTACAAAAGAAGTACAAAACATTAGTTTGGGTCACAAGCTGTGGGGTGAAAGTTCCATGTGCCATCTGTAGGCCAAAGCTAGTAATTGCATGTTTGAGACTCAGGCACTCTTCCTCTACCACCCCAGTAGTGACAAGACAGGGCCTCAGAAGAAGATGGTAAAGTCTCAAGGTAAAACAGCTTAGAGCACTTAAGAGGCTGCTCTAGAGTTGTTCATACCTACAATAAACTTTGTAAGAATAAATAATGTTTTATTGTGTTAAGCCCCTGGGAGTTGGCACAATGTTACCGAGCCTAGCCTAAGCCAGGGTTACTCAAATGTAGCACTACTGACATCTTGAGCTGGATACTTCCTTGCTATTTGTGCTGTCCTGTGCATTACAGGACATTAGGCAACATTCCTGGCGTTTGCCCTTTATTTACCAATAGCACCCCTCAATGTGACAGACAACCAAAAATGTCTCTTGACATTGCCCTTCTCTCCACTTTGAGAACCATTAGCCTACCTTAACCTGAAGAATACAAATGTCTCTATGTATATATGTACGTATTACAAATGTGTGTATAAGAGTACACTTATTTAACCACGCCATGTGACACAAATATATGCTTTATTGTGTATTAAGACCAGATGTTTTGTAGGCCCTTAATGGATACAAATTTCCATTCTCAAACTAGGAGAGTAGTTCACTAACTTAAAAATAATTCAATCAATATCACAAGTCTCTCTAGCAGGAGTGTGCAACCTGCAGCCTGCAGACTGCATCCTGCTCAGGACAGCTATGAAAGCAGATTAAGACAAATTTGTAAATTTACTTAAAACATTATGAGAACTTTTTCATGTGACATGTGATTACATGTCACAATGTATTTAATGTGTGGCCCAAGAGAATACTTCTTCCAGAGTGGCCCAGAGATGCCAAAAGGTATCACACCCTTGCTACAGTAAGGCAAACAAATCATCCCAAAAGAGTATAGAATTCCATACATACTATGCTGTTCATTTCGGAGGACTCATAGCTCCCAACTGGGTGGACATTTCCAATGGGCTCCAAGCCCTCTTCATCCCACATATACGTTCCATCAGAGCTATCAGATGGAGAGAGTTCAAATGAAGAACCAACTCTGTAGTCTGTATCTGGTGAAATCAAGTTATTCCCAGAATTATGTTTCGTACATTCACTCCTTTCTTCAATTGGTTTTTTAAAAAGAGAAAGAGAAACAGTTATTAATTCACAAAATATAATTATTTCTCAGGTTCCAAAAATACAAATTGTTTTTACAAATATTATAAAATGATAATTTGATATATTATAGCAAAAAATTTAGCAAAGCATTCATACCCGTAGCATTTTCTAACTTCTAAACCATAAATAAATCCAAAGGTGAAATCTTGAAAATAACCTACTGAAATGTTTCTCAATAGATACAAAGAAAATTCACTGGGTCATCTTTCCCTTCTACAACATTTCTAGAAATGTAAGTAAAGCCTAATATTCCTTTAATATTTCCTACGATACTTACATTTAAGTACTAGCCAGGAAACTCCTCCCTCTGTATATTATATCTTTTTAACCTCATAGATACCTCCTTATAAGGAAAAACGTTATTCTGGCAAACACTCCTAACTAGAACACTCTCTCACAGTCAAGGGTTATACACATCTCCAGGTATGGCCCAGTGCCTTGACCAGGCCACATGCCTTTATCCAATCCCTTCAGTTTGTTCTTCTTTCAGGCTATATGAGCATAAGGATAAATTTTCTCTGGCACTCAGTGCTAAGAAAACCAAGAATAAGAGGAAATGTTTAACATATGCTATCTCACTTTCCTTAACTAAAAAAATAAAGCTCCTCTGAAAGTATTACCTATAAAGACTGCTCTAGCAAGAAATCTAAGTCTCCTGTTAAAAAATTAAAATTTCCTAGGATAAGAAAATTCATTAGATTAGACATAACTGCTTACTTATCCTTTGGTATAGTTTTACCCCTAAAAAATAGCAATGATCTATTACCCTAAGAAAAGAGGTGGTTTAAAATGGCATGCCAGACTTCTGATCAAGATGGAGGCATAAACATGCCTCACCTCCATAAACAACTACAGCAAGAAATATAGCTACACTACAAAACAAATATCACCAAGAAGTGTCATAAAATTGAGCTGTGTGGAAGTCAGACAACTAAGGATTTAAAGAAGCCACATTCATCTAGACGGGTAGGAGAGGCAGAGACGTGGAGAGGTACAGAGAGGTGTGGAAATGTGCTGCAGAGACGGGAACAGGCAGTCTCACATCCACGTGTTGTGGATAAAATATAGGAGGAATACTTTAGGAGAGAGGGATTCCAGGCCCAGAACAGACCACTCAGCCCAGGATCTCAGCACCAGGAAGATTAATCCCCATAACTTCTGGCTGTAAAAACCAGTGGGGGTTGATGCAGCAGAAGAAACTGTGCCCTCTTAAAGGGCCCAAAACAGACCTAGGACTCATGCAGACCCAAGTCCTCTCAGATTCAGCACCAGGGCAAGAGCTGGAGGGGTACCAGTGACATATGGGAAGAAAGTGAAGTGCAAGTGGGAAGACAACTTCCTCCCAGACAAAACTCCAGAGGCCAGGTAGTGGTACTGTCCCTTCTGCAAGACCTCCCAAACACGGAGCAAGAGTGGAGGCATGGGTTGCCCTGCCCTCATGATTACCTAAGTCTCTGCTCCATACAACTTAACAGGTGTGCTAAGAAGGGGAATCAAATCATCAGCTCTACCTAATACACAGAAACAAACACAAGGAAGCTGCCAAAATGAGGAGACAAAGAAATATGACCCAAATGAAAGAGCAAAACAAAACTCCAGAAAAAAAAACTAAATGAAATGGAGATAAGCAACCTATCAGATGCACAGTTCAAAACTCTGGTTATCAGGATGCTCCAGGACCTCACTGGGTACATCAACACCATAAAAAAGACTCAGGCAAAAACAAAGGCTGCATTAAGTGAAATAAAGCAAAATCTACAGGAAACCAACAGTGAAGGGGATGAACCTGAGAATCAAACCAATGATTTGGAACATAAAGAAGAAAAAAGCATTCAATCAGAAGAGAAGGAAAAATAGTTTTTAAAAAACCAGAACAGGGTTAGGAACCTCTGGGACATCTTTAAATGCACCAACATCCAAATCATATGGGGTGCCTGAAGGAAAAGAGGAAGAGCAAGAAATTGAAAACTTATTTAAAAGAATAATGGCCCTGGCTGGTGTAGCTCAGTGGATTGAGCGCGGGCTGTGAACCAAAGCATCGCAGGTTCGATTCCCAGTCAGGGCACGTGCCTGGGTTTTGGGCCAGGTCCCCAGTGGGGGCCACAGGAGAGGCAACCACACATTTATGTCTCTCTCTCTCTTTCTCCTTCCCTTCCCATCTCTAAAAATAAATAAATAAAATATTTTATAAAAAGAAAATAAAAATAAAGAATAATGAAAGAAAACTTCCCTAATTTGGTAAAGGAAATAGACATACAAGTCCAGGGAGCACAGAGTCCCAAACAAGATGGATGGAGAAAGGACCACACCAAGACACATCATAATTAAAATGCCATAATTTAAAGATAAAGAGATAATCTTAAAAGATGCAAGAAAGAAGCAGAGAGTTACCTACAAGGGAGTTCCCATAAGACTGTGAGCTAATTTCTCAAAAGAAACTTTGCAGGCTAGAAGAGACTGGCAAGAAGTATTCAAAGTGATGAAAAGCAAGGACCTAAAACCTAGAATACTCTGTCTAGCAATGCTATCACCTAGAATTGAAGGACACATAAAGTGTTTCCCATACAAAGTAAAACTAAAGGAGTTCATCCTCACCTAGCCATTATTATACGAAATGCTAAAGAGAGTTATATAAGAGAAAGAAGATGGTCAAAATGATGAACATTAAAATAGCATAAAACTCACAACTATCAATAATTAAATCCAAGTAACAAACTAAGCAAACAAGCAGAACAGGAACAGAATCATAGATATGGAGATCCTGTGGAGGGTTATCAGCTGGCGGGGGGAGGGTCAAAAGAGGGGAAAGGTGCAGGGATTAAGAAGCACAAATTGGTAGGTACAGAATAGACAGGGCAACGTTAAGAACAGTACAGAAAATGGAGAAGTCAAAGAACTTCAACAGTCAAAAAAGAACAAAGGTATAATACTTTAGGAGAAGAATGTTTTTATTGATATTCTAAAGTGGAAAACTGGACAGGAAGCAAAAGCCACAAAAAAAGAAAAACGTTGCCCCACTACTATTTTATCTAGATTCTTCCCTCCATGAAATTGATATCATGAAATTAATCAAACATAACCCTAAATGTAAATTCAGTAATATTATCTAGAAGAAAGCATATAAGCTTAAGGATATTAATATTTACCAGAGACACTTATATCTATCCAGTCATCAGTTTTACTGATGGATTTTTCATTTTCCTTGGGGGAATCAAATACATCCTTTGATGGTACATTTTCATGCTTTTCTTCTTTGAGAGAAATTTCCTCTGGAGTTATTCGAGTTCTGTTAGAATCCTCTATATCTATAAAATCATCACTGAAGTCTTCACTTAAATCATTCTTATCAGATGATGACAAAGAAGACAAGGAAATGTCATCCACATCATCACTCAAGTATCTAATTTTAGCATCATGCTTCATGGTCTGACCATTTTCTGTTCTATAATTATCATTTTCAATTAGCTCTTGGTCCTTGTCAGTAGCTCTGTCCTTAGCCAGAAGTACAGTATCTTCCTTTACATATGTGCCAGCAGGTGAATTTTTGTTACCATCTTCTGTGATAGTCCCAGAAAATGGAGATCGACTAGATTTCAGTAGAGGGGGATGAGCCATCCTATAACCCAAAGTGGAAGTTATACCTGGGCCATTTGGTATCGCCAACTTCTTTCCAGTAGCAGCATAAGGCCTATTAAATCCATACCCTAGTTCATTCCCACTGAATACTTCTGACTGCTGGGAGTTTCTTGTTAGCACAGTTGACCTCAGAGGCACTCTAATGGGCAGCTGTTGGTTCTGATAAGGCTTACTAAGATCTGCAGCTCTATTGAAGGAATGTGATCTGGTTATAGATGAAGGTGGAAGGAATGAATTCTGAATGGAATGTGAAAAACTCTGTGACCTTACCATTTTTTCACAAGTAAGAGATTTAATATTGTCTAGGGATTGTGCTAAACTTTCTCCAGAACTGCTTCTGGTAGCACAGGAGTTTGCTCTAGGCCTTTGTATGCTACCAGCCAATCGATTTCCAAAAAATCCATTCAGCTGTGATTTTGGAGCACTGATTGAAGAATATGAAGTCCTTCCTAATAATGTGCCTTTGGTGAATTTACCCAAATTAGATGGTCCTGGCAAAGACTTTTGTTTTAACTCTTCTGTAGATGATAAGAGCATAGTGGATGGCTTTACTAACTTTGATGTGAATAAAGAAACACTTTTCAAACCTCCCTTTATCCCATTTTTAGCAAACATTCCTTGAGCAGGTGTATGTTTTTCAGGATTAATTACTTTATCAGGTGAACTTTGGGTATCATTAGACTCTTCAGTACTTTGTGCACTAAGTTGGTATTTAGTTGCCGGTCTCCAATTCAATGGATGAGATGATGGACAATCAGAGCCATTATTTTTTATGTAACTTTTCACATTGTTACTCTTGGAAGTTCCTAATAAATTAACGGGTGCCCCACTTGACATTGGCTGCAGTGTACTTCTTACAGATTTTGTTCCATACTTTGGCAACTTGGAACCCAAAAAAGCCTTGATTTGTGTTTTTTCTTCCATGAGCTATAATGTACATTTGTTCTTAAAATTCGACAAAATCTGAGGAGGAGAAAAAAAAACAGATTACACATCCCTAAATAAGGACAATTACATAGATTATTACATGTTAATGCATATTTTTTATATAAATGCAACAAAGCCCAAAAACTACTCATGATTCTTACAGAACTCATAAATGTTGAATGCAATGATTAAATTAATAACTTTATGTTAGAAGAAAATGAAGAATACTTTATAAACATTTTTATATACCTGATCTATGAATGATGATAGCAAAATCCAGAAATAATAAAATTAGATTACTAAAGAATATATTTTAAAAAGACACTTCTGTAGCACACTAAAATGTAAGACACTTATATTTTAATTTTAATCCAAATTATTTTTTTACATTAGGTACTATTATATCCTTTAACAACAAGAACATGTGATTTTTGGTTTATTTATAAGCATACATGATCTTATAAACCCAGACTACATGTTTAAGATTTCATATGGGAAGGATATAGGTAAAGAATACAATACCACCAAAAAGTCTAATGGCATTAAGGGCTGAGATATCAGCTGTAATTTTAAGCAACAATCTTAAAAGAATTTTTAGCCAGTAATATAAAAAGACACTACAGTTAGTGTCTGAATAAAAAAAATATAATGATTTAATAAAGTTGATTAGTCCATTAATCTCAACCTCTCCAATTTATTTTAAAGGTAACACAACAAACAGAAAAAGATTCAATGCACAAATAAGAACATAAAACTAGAAACAATCAGTGTCCTTTATTTAACTGTTTAATAAATTACGATATGTCATATGATGAGATTAAAAAGATGAGATAGAAATGTTAAAATATTTACCCTAACATTAACAGAAATGTGATATGGTCATAACCTACATGTTCATTGAGATTATATTAAATTCTATAAAAGCACTCACAAGAGCAAAATGCAAAAAAAAAAAAAAAAGGAAAATACATGCTTAAGGGTCACTGATGTTTTTAAACTTATGTATCTTATATTGTCTTTAATTTGTTAGTTTTATTTTTTTAATTTACTAATTAGTTCCAAGTCATTCTTGACCTTAAGAATTTAGAGAATTTCCAGAGTATATGTGTGTTATTAATTATGTCAAAAGTAATACTTAGGAAATCATATTGACTTTCAAGTAAAGATGGTGGGGTGAAACAGAATTACCAAACTTCTTGTCGCCAATATTTTTTTAAAAAAGGAAAAAATATGCATATGTGTGTATGTGTGCATGCATGTGTATAATTTTTTTTAGCAAAAAACCCACCAGCTGCTGTCAAACAAGAAACTGTTTAAACTAAGTACCTCTAAACTCTAAAAAGTGGGCAGAAACTCTAAGATTCTGTGCAGTATGGCCTGGCTCCTAGCCTGATTACACTGCCTGGAAGCAGTAGTGCGAAAAATAGGTGAGTTAATAAAACTTGAAAGTTTTAATGAATATCCTCCAGTTTGGAAGGAAAGATCCAATTTGGCATGCCCTAGAAAAGTCTAGAAAACATCTTCAGCACAGGAGCTTTGAAACCTCAGCTGAGGCAGAGTGGCCATCAGAACCTGTTGACTTTCAAGGCACTATTCTGAACTTCGGGAAGAGTCTGCTACTACAAATATATTACACCTTCAACAGGATAGAGTGAGAACACTTAACAAAATCTAAACAGACAGGAAAGACAGAGAGCCTGAGGTGTCAGAAAAGCTCTTCCCCCCAACACCACCTTATACCCTTCAACTAAAGAGAATACAGAGAACACCACAAGGTATATTCAGGTGGTGCAGTAAAAGAACAGTCAGAGCTAAGGTGAAAAAGGCTTGGGGAAATAACTCATTGCATCAGGGCAAATACAATGTCTGATCTAGCTATAGATAGATCAGATAGATCTAAGCCTGTACCAAGCAAGATAAAAAGTAATCTGTCACTCAACTGTATATGTAACAGTGGATTCTTTTGACATTGTTTCTGTAAGTGCTGACTCTAATAGATATAAGCTTCTAGATGAAGAGCATGTTTGTATAAGAATCCTAGGAACTAAATTCAAAAGATAAAGACTCAGACCTTCAGGCATCCTAGCTCTGGGAGATTTGCTGACAATGAAGCCAAGATGTCATAAAATCAGGATGACGGAAGCCCAGGATGACTAACCCAGGATGATGCATACTGGACCATCATTTGCCTTATCAGAATGGACTGTGCTAGTCTTTACATAGAAAACTTTCAACCTCCTTCCTTGACCTCTTTGTTCTGTTCCCCTCTCCCTCCTTGTAAAAACCTCTGCCTCCACTGAGATAGTGGAGATGGGCTTTGAGACGTGAGTCCTGCATCTTCCAGGTGGCCAGCACCTAAAAATAAACCACTTTTCTTTACATCAGCACCTGCTTCTGGTGTATTGGCTTTCATAGCAGCAGGCAGCCAGAATGGCAGTTTGGTTACATATAAACAAGGGGGTGGAAGGAAGGAGAGATACAAGTAATGACTATAGCATGAAAAACAAAGGAAGAACCCAGTCTGAAAAGAAAAATAAAACATAAAAAAGAAAATAAGGAAATCTCCAGTGAGTTCTTTGTAACAGAGAACAACCTACAAAGAACATATATTTAATAAAACAAATGCTCAAAGATGAAAAGACAAACCAAGTAAATTGAGAAGTTATAGACCTAAGAAATCAATTAACAAGAACAACGAATTTGGTGGAGGAGGAAGCAAAAAAAATAAAAGAACCAAATGCAAAAAAAATCAAACTGATGGCAACAATAAAAATCTTAAAATAACCTGAGTACTGAGGGGGAAAAAAGGCAAAGACACCAAAGCAATTAGAAGATATAAGACAGACACTGAAGAGAAACATAATTAGTACACCTGAAGTAGGATACCTGAACAGAAGAGAAAAAGCACACAGACATAATAGAAAATATCCCTAAAATAAAGGAGAAAAAAAATCTACAGAAGAGAAGGAAAAGTAACTAAACCATAGATTCAAATACATATCAAGGCTAAGTTAATAAAATACCAAAAACAAAGACAATTCTTCAAGAATAAAGGCAGAAAAAATCACTTTGTAAAGAAAATTTTAAGACTTCGGAATAAGCAAGAGAGTACTAGATATCCTTTCAATGAAATGGCTGGAGCTTCCATGGTAATTTAATCCTATAGGAATTATCATTGGGCTATTTTACAACTCTGTGAAAACAGAGGTTAACATATAGAAAATTAACAGTAATGCATATAATTATTGTCTACAGATGCGCAAGTAAATTGTCCTAAACAGCTGGCTTCCTTCCACTGCTGTGGAGGAAGCCAGCCTTGTATCCATTTGCAAATTAACTTTTTAATATTCCTGATCTATAAATGTACCTGTTCTTTGCATTCTCCTTTGAACCAGCTATAATATCTCTCTGACTACCTTGTAAATAATAAGATAAATAAAATCTTAAACATGTGTTCATTTGATATCTGAATGGAAGTCATCATTTTTTCTCTTCTAAAATATATCCTTTAACAGTTTGGAAATTCCACCAAGCTTCCTAGTAGATTCACCCAACAGAGCTGGGTCATTTCTTTGCCAGAATGGCAGATATCACAGCTTAAGCCCAGACATGTCTTTGTCTTCCAGAAGTGAATCAAGAACAGCAACAGAACTTTGCTAACTCTGTCTTTCTAATTTTAATTTGCTTCTCTTCCAATTTTGTCTTGTTTCTGCTTTTATTTTTGGGTTTTTTTCTTTTATGGTCAGCAAGTTATTCCCCTTGGTGATAACAATGATTGTGAATTTGATTTAATACATTGCCATTTAGGAATCTTTATGAACAAATTAATGGTTACATGGGTGGCCAACCCATGGCCCGTGGGCAAAATGCGGCTCAACACGAAATCATAAATTTACTGAAAATCTTTTATTTTTGTGCTCATCAGTAAGCATTAGTGTTTGTGTATTTATGTGAGGCCCAATACAACTCTTCTTCTTCCATTTTGGCCCAGAGATGCAGAAAGGTTGGACACCCCTGGCACATATCTGTTCTGCGTTGGGTGAGAGAAAAAGAAAAATCTGATTCATTAGTTACTTGTTCATTTATCTCTTTTGTGTACCTGTTTTGAGCTCAAATCAATTTAGAATATCATGCTGAGAGAAAGGAATTTGGAATCTGGACAGGTCCAGTTTTATATTTCTGTGTTAACTCTACTGCCATGGCTAAAATTATAAAACTGGAAATGATAAGGTCTCTCGGAGCTTGTATGGTTATGTGTCTATAATTCATAAAGGTTTTTACCTTTCTTTGTGAGTATATAAGACTTTCCTAACTACAGAGTTAGAAAATTATATTATAAATTATATTATAAAAACTTATACAGCAACTCTGTTCTTATTGGCTAACAGAAATAAATATGCAGTTACATAAATTGAATACTACCAGAATTCCCAGAAAAGATTGTCTAATATTTTAATTGTGTTATACTTTATAACTCTTACAGAAGCTGACTCAGAAAAGTTTTAAGAACCAAGTTCATATAATTAGATCATTTCAAAGTAAGAGAGAATGCTAAAACATTGATAAGCATAATTTCAAGTTCATATGCTTTTGCTTCTTGTTATATGCTACATACAGAATTTATCTTTGGAACACATAATGTGTTCATTTTTGCTACTTGAGAATTATACACTAGATCCCATTTTTATAAAAGTAACTAATGATAGAAATAGATATCACACAAACATATGTGTGTACATATATTTAAACATAATAAACTGTTAATAGTGGTTACCATGAGAGAAGTGAGAATTAGGTGAAAGAAGGCTTCCTTTTACCTTTAAATAATTATTTATATATTTGCATATGTTCACTTCTTTCCATTTAAAAAACTTCTAACTAAAAATTGCGTTTTAAAAATAAAACCCATCTATTCAATACCAAAACAAGACTTAACAGTTCAATCTAACCAAAAAAATTATTTAAAATTAAGTTCAATATTATATAAAATATATTTAAAAGACATAATAGAATAATAGAATAATACTGGGTAAAAA